CCCCCCAAACATAACTGATTCTTTTTATCCTGCCTCATTTATATTTGGTATCTTTGGCCACTGTATATAACTGATGATATCTCATATTCTTCATCTAACTCCATTGCTCTATTTTCTTAGGAGTTCTCAATACCTCAGTATGCCACCAGAATCCATTCCTATACTGTTTCACATTAGTTTATTTTTTATTTGATACAGGGTCTCGCTATGCAGCTCAGACTCATAGTGATCCTTCTGTCTCAGCCTCCCAAGTGGTGGAATTGCAAGTGTGCACCAAGACTCCTGCTTTTGGGCCAGCACCGTGTGCCTGGGATTCCAGGGCCAGCATGCATGCGTTACCAGGGATTGAACTCAGGTCTTCTCAGGCAAGCACGCTTGCCAGGCAAGTGCTTAAGCCTCTGAGCTAGCTTCCCAGCCCCATTTTAGATTAGTTTTAAACATATTTTCAAATGTAACACTATTTCCAAGGTGTGCTCTAGAGAATATAAACTAATATTATGTAAAATTAAAATTGGGTGGCAGTGGTATTAGAAAAACAAAGCAAAACAAAACAACAACAACAAAACCCTTCTGTCCTACATTGCTTTTGCTAGTCCTGATATTCTAATGAGTACATGAATTTACCTAAAGTAGGTACAATAACTTGTCACATCTTACCAGTAATTTGACCATATAACAACTCCTGCACCTCCAACCCTATGGCCTTTTAGTTTATATTATCTTATGTTTACACAACTAATGTCTGTCTACCCAGCATAATCTAGGAACCAGGTACTCGAGATTCCTTATAGGCTTAGTTCTTATTTTAAGAAGTAAAATAAGAGGATTCAACAATTTAAATAAAATTTTGGATAACAGAGTTATGACAATTTATGTCTTTATTTACTTGGTGCAGGGTCTCGCTACACAGCTCGGACTCAGTGATCTTCCTGTCTCAACCTCTCCAGTGCTGGGATTACAGGTATGTACCACCACGCCTGGTTTTGGTGACCAGCACAGCACACCCAGGGTTCTGGGGTCAGCACGGCATGAAGTACCAGGGATCAAACCTGGGTCCTTGCACTTGCCAGAGAGGTGCTTAGACCACCACGCTATCTCCCCAACCTATGACTGTTTACTAAGAGAAATTGTGGGTTGAGATTTTAAAGATAAAGAGAAAAGATTTTGGAGTTTAACATCATAGAAGCATATCACGCATAAAAGACTCCATTTGGGGATTTGAAATGCTAGACCATATAGTCCCAGGAAAAACCAAGACTTAGAAGATTTATAGTCATATTGCTATTTTGGAATACTCAGCAAAAAGCTACAGCCAGAGAATTAGAAATAAG